TTGTTATTAAATGATAGAATTCACTAAAAGTATATAAATATGTAATAAATAAAATAATTTTGGGATAAAAATGATAAATGAGGTTTATCTATTGTCAATACATTGGTCATTCACATTTACACCTGAAAAAATTGCCAAAAAACACAATTTTTGTAACTAGGCGGGGCTACCCGACACATTTTGAAAAGAGCTGAAAAACATGTTTTTTTAAATTTCTATTTTTTTAAGTTTAATTGTTCTTTTTTTGGTTTATTCTTTTTGCATTGTTTAATTAGATGATAAAACAATAGAAACATATAAAAATGTTGATTATTACTCAGTATTATACAGAAATATAAGCAATACTCCTTAAGTGAGCGGAGCTACCCGACTCTCCCCTATACAATATTTATTTTTAGGTTTTTTAATGAATAGTCTATAATTAATCTTTTTATGGATGTTATCCTAAAAATGAAACTTCTGTGCTATAATTAGTGAAAATTACAGACGAAATTCTACAAATCTTGCGAAGTTGTGTTCATGTTTAGCTTTAAATTGGCTTTTCCTGAAAATAAAGAAAAACTTTAATAAACATGAAAGCTCTTAAGTAATTTATCTATGCTGTTTTCGAATAAACTAACGTACTGTATTCTTTAGATGTGTTTTATTTTTATTATGTTAAACAATTGTGCTCGGAATGTGTTTCCGAAATCAATATTTTGCTTAAAATATTGCAAGAAAAACCTTCGATTAAAATTTCCTCACAATTTATTTTCGTTGCGCTATTTTATTATTGTAGATTATTATAATAAAATTATGATTTTATTATTATTATTAAAATGATTGAAATCGTATTTTTTTTAATATCTATGTTAAATAATTTTTATTTAAACATTCAAAAAAGTTTTTTATGTTAAACAATTCTGATCGGAATGTGTTTCTGATATCAATATTTTGCTTAAAATATTGCAAGAAAAACCTTCGATTAAAATTTCCTCACAATTTATTTTCGTTGCGTTATTTTATTATTGTAGATTATTATAATAAAATCATGATTTTATTATTATTATTAAAATAATTTAAATTGTACTTTTTTTAATATGTAAGTTAAATAATTTTTACTTAAATATTCAAAAAAGTTTTTTATGATCAACAGTTCTGATCAGAAAGGGTTTTTTGAAATATTTCAATTTTCAGAAATATTTCAATCAAAACATTCGATTAAAATTTTTTTTATAATTTCTTTTCATTGCGTCATGGTAATCTCCATTAATGCAGTTCTCTAAATAATCGGATTCTTATCTCTTTTTTTTTAGCATTTATGTTAAAATATCATTATTTGAATATTCAAATTATTTTTTCATGATCAACAGAAAACCAGAAAGTGTTTTTCAAATCGAAATTTCATCAAAAATATTGAAAGCGAAACCTTTATTTGAAACTTCCACGCAATTTACTTTTCCTAGCGTTACTCTAACTTCCATTTATGATTATAAAATAATCTAAATAATCGAATCTTTTAAAAAAAAGAAGAAAAAAAAAGCATTTATGTAAAAAAAAAACTTTTTTTTTCAAAAATTATTAAGAGAAATTATGAAGTTAATAGAAAGTAAATTTTATTTCAAAAATTCTTTTAAAAATAAATTTGATTTTGTTACCATGAACATGTTATTATAAAATTCCAAAAATTCTAATGAGATATGGAGGTGTGCTTTGTATTTATTTCCAATTCCCAGGCTCAGTGGCCCCCATCCCCCCAAAGCTCTTGGGCGCATTCTTGGGCAAATTCTAAATCCCCCCCCAAACTATTCGTTTTATTTAGNCCCCCCCCCAAAACCATTCGTTTTATTTAGTGTAAAAATTCCCCCTCCAAGTTTTAAGTTGGCTCATCGTGCCCCCACCTTCCCCCCTGATGGGGGCCCCTGCTCAGGCTCTTTGGGAAGATACGGCCCCTTTTGCATTGAGGCCCTGTAAATAATACTCAATAAAAGCATTACATAACTTCCTTATGCATGACTGATATAAGATGACTGATAACAAACCGATTATTAGGCGAACGTTTTATTTAAAAAAGATTGTAGTATGTTTGTCTTAATCTGATAGTAAGCTGATCACTATTTATAGATTTTATTGTCATATTTTTCAATGGGACACACATCATCATATCTCAGGACTTTGAGTTAGAAAAACAGATATCTTGTTTCGTATTATTATAAATAGTCTCAGTCAATAAATTGTGTCAGTTAACTAAGAATATTTTAACCACAATTTGAAATTAACTTCAACATTTATGTACTCTCATGGGTCTATTTTGAAATCACTGCAGGTTCTACTCTCTCGATATCATGTCTTTAAAATTTTTATTTTAATACTTAATACCCACATCTCATTTTCGCGACAGGCAGAGTTTTTTTAGTCCATTTTGAATTTTGAGTAAACATTAGTGTATATAGATTTATTTTTCATTTCGTTTAAAAATTTAGCCATATGAAGAATTTAAAAAAAAAAAAAGAGGTGGAGGAGGCTTTTTACTGGAAGATCATACATCATTTTTAACAAAATGCTTTTTTTAATCGTATTAAGGGCTGGTTTGGATCGAAACTAATCTCATCAAGCAATCAATGGTGCTATTGCTTGATGCAATAGCACCATTGATTTTCTGATTATTAAATATTTTTTCTCAGGTACTTCTTATGTATCTCCACTTCTTGAATATTACAATTGAAATGTATAACAAATCTTACTACTGAAAAAAAAAGTGAGGGTCTTTCTTAGCGGAAAATCATACATCATTTTGAAAAAAATGCTTCTTTTTAATCGTATTAAGGGACTGATTTGGCACCAATAGCACCACTGATTTTTAGATCATTAAATATTTTTTCTCTGATACTTTTTAAGTATCTTAATTTTTTGAACTTAACAATTGAAATTTTTAAAATTAGTTTTAATTGTAAGAATTTAAATTTTTTGCATCTTTTAAAGCAACGTAAATCGTTATTCTGTAATTAAAAAAGAGGTTAAAATGTGTAGTTTAAAATTATTTTAAATTGTTTATTGTTTAGTTTCAATAAATATTTCATGAAATCGTTCATGAATAGTTTAATGAAATTGTTCTTGGTCCGAAAAAGATATAATTTATATTTTGAGTAATTAGTTTTTAAAATTAAATTTGTTAAAAACTTTAATCAGTTCGCTTAATTTAATTCTCTAGTTTTGTAATGTACTTTCCTTTCCCAATGCCGTTAGACTAACATCAGCTCAGAAAAGTGCAATTTTAACGAAAACAATTAAAAAATAACCTGTTTTTTTTTTAATGAATGTAATAAATAAGCAAATAAATAAACAAATAAAAATTAGATACTTTTATATTTCGCTGGGGCAGGTAAATTCAATTATTGTATTTACTTATTTATTTTTTTTTTCTCCAAATAGATATCACCAAAAGAGCTTTTTTTAAAAAAAAAAAAAAAAAAAAAAAAAGATGAATTAACATGCACTTGTGAAGTTTTATATGTAACTTTATCGCTTGCGCCGGCAAAATAGAAAACTACCAAAAATAGTTATCAACGTATAATTAGTTTAAATAAATATTTCATGAAATAGTTCATGAATAGTTTAATGAAATAATTCTTGCTCCGAAAAAGATATAATTTATATTTTGAATAATTAGTTTTTAAAATTAAATTTATTAAAGACTTTAATCAGTTCGCTTAATTTAATTCTCTAGTTTTGTAATGTACTTCCTTTTTCCTATGCCGTTAGACTAACATCAGCTCAGAAAAGTTCAATTTTAACAAAGACATTTAAAACATAACCTGTTTTTGTTTCGTTTGTTTTTTAAATGAATGTAATAAATGAATAAATAAATAAACAAATAAAATTTAGATACTTTTATATTTCACCGGTTCAAGTTAATTCAGTTATTTTATTTACTTATTCAGTTTTTTTTTTTTTTCAAATAGATATCACCAAAAAAAACTTTTTTTTTAAAAAAAAAAAAAGATGAATTAACATGCAATTGTGACGTTTTACATGTAACTTTATCGCATGCGCCGGCAAAATAGAAAACTACCTAAAATAGTTATCAACGTATAATTTAAAGAATGTTTTGTGTACAAATATATGGCTTGTATTAGGTAAATAAAACAACCGTTTTGGTAAGGTGCTGGGCTCATAGTAAAATAACTAAATATCTGTTTCATCCTACTTGAAGAGGTGAAGAGGTCACGAAAAATGTTCTGAAAGTTCTGGAGGACGAAAAGATCCGAAAGCGCAGGCGTATTCGGATCTTTTCGTCACTAATCGTTGATTCGCTATATTGGAGGCAGGAGTTTGTGCGTAAACAGTACGAAGTGCAAGCTTGTTTACTCTTTTGCGAAGTGCATATCCTGTGATCACGTCTCTCAATTTCATTAATTGGCTGTAATTATTTCTTCTAATTTTGTAGAATTCTAAAGTATAGATTAAAACATGGGTTTCGTGCTGCCAAAAAATTATTTAGGAACACTCTTTCGATTATCAGGTAAATTAAACATTTATATGCATTAAAAACATAATTCCGTTTCATTTCACATGTAAATGGTAATTAAATTTTTATCAAATTTTTGTAAAAGTCTTCTAGAAATGAATGTTTATTGCTGTATTCTAAATTAACAAATTTCTTCAATAAAGTGTCTATAAATTATTTTTTAGAATTGATTTACAGTAAGAGATTTTGGAATTGACTTACAGTTTACTATTAATCATTATCAATTTAAAGACACATGATAAGGAGTTTGGGATTTGAAATTGAACTACAGGGGGATATTTCCGAATCGTGATCTGTTGCTCCAACTACAATCGCCAAGGTGCCAAATTATTTTAAACTTGCAAATTTAAAAAAAAAACAAAACAGATGTAGATGTTTGCCCGGGGGTGGCTATGAGCTATACCTTTCGAGTTGGTCCCTTTCTGTGATGTTATTTTTTAGTTTATCGCGGGCCACTGCTCGCAAGTTTCAAAGACTTTGCGATTGATTATTTAGGAATTATTAAAATAAATAAAAAATACAAATAGAAAACTCATTTATCAAAGTAAAGGTGGCTAAGTTTGTTCTGGTAACCATGTCAATTACTGTGTTAATGACACTGCAAATTGTGCTGAGGAATGAATTACTTTTGAATTTTTATAGATTTCTTATAATTGATTTAAAAACCAATTAACTAATAAAATCAAGCAAGCTTTACATATGAAGTTCATCAAGAATTTTGTTAAAGAATAAATATTAAGTGAGCATTTGAAGCATGCTGTTAAACTTTAAATTATTTAGTATTTTTTGGAAGATTTTCATATTGATATGCACACCAAAATAATTGACAAATTTTGGCATTTTCAGAGCAGTGGCCTGTGAGAAACTAAAAAGAACATATGAGAGGACAAACTAAAAAAGTAAAATCTTAACCATCGCTGAGCAAACCACATAAACTTTTCACAAAATTTTGCAAATTCAAAACATTTTGCCAGAAATGAATAGGTGAAATCAGATATGGATACAGAAATATCCTCATTTCTTAATTTCTAATTTTTTATAGGATTTTAAGTTTTTTTTTTCCTATTAAAGAAAGAAAAAGTTTTATTCATCAAAATCACATCATATTTTGTGAAAACTTCTCCTTTAAAGTTTTTCAGGTAGCCAAAAGCAAGGAAATTCAACTATTTTTTCATTTTTATTTTATTTCTTTGAATACATTTTATGTTATTTAATATTTAAGTGCGTTAAAAAAAATAAAAGTAAAGTTGGTGGAGAGCTATATTTTTTGTTGACTTTTTACTTGCACTCCATTAACCGAAAGAAACCGCTTTTTTAGTGAGAGATTTCCGTATTGGTACTTTAGCAAATTTAATTTCCAAGTAATTGTGACTTCCAGAAATTGGCATGGTGAAACTAAAAACTTAAAAAGTAAAAATGTTAACCTATGTTATGCAAGCCAATATGTAATTTTCTTTAATTTATTCCAAATTAGACAAATCTGCAATTTCATTTGGAGCCTTGTCGATTTCAGTACGCACGAATAGGTTTCGATATGGAAAAATCCCTTTTTTCACTCTTATTTGTTTCGGGGGTCTTAACATTATTTTTCCAAAATATCTTTATTAGTATGTCAGCAGCCTATTGTACACAATACCCGTAATAATTATTTCCACAATCAATGGTATCAAATCCATTAGTTTGACTATTTTTTTTTATATCTTCCCAAAATGAATAAGTACATATTTTTCTATTGTTAAGATTTTCTATTTGTTTTTGAAACTTTAATACTATTTTTTCATTTATAATTTTTTTTTTTTTTTTTCAATTTAAGTTACAGTTATGTTTGAAAATTGCTACACCATGTAAGGTATTATAATTAATTACTGAAATTGTGTCACATTTAGATAGTAGTACAAATAAACATGCACAACAGTGGTACATTCATAATTGCTTTATAATTATAATTGGTTATATGTCTTAGTTCTATTTACATTTCATGTAAGTTTGATTAATTTCTTCATAGTGTAAAAATTTTCACAGACATGAGTGTACAGAAAATTTAAATTACATAGAATTCAGTAAAAATATATAATTAATAAACCATTCCCATTAAATTAAAACTTATTTTAGACTATTTTATTTACTGTTAACTGCTTCAATTAGTTATGTTTTTGTATAAAAATGAAGAGCTTTAACTTTTAACTAAAGGTAATTTTTTCTTATTAAGAATAAAAGAAATCTAAATATTTTAAGATGTAACTTCTTTATAAATCAATGCAACAAAGGATGCAAAATAACTAATTTCTACTTATGTAACTCTAAGGTATGAAACATCCATTTCAATGTATCAAATGGGGAAGTTAAAAAATTAGAAATAAAATAAATATATCTCTGAAGAACGGTTCCTATTGTCACAGCTTCTAATATTTGTTACTGTTTTAATTTGTACTGAAAATTTTCTTTTACAAATAAAAAAAATCTTTCAGGGCAACCGTTACTGAAGAAAACAGTTGGCATCAGGTCAATCTCAAATGGATATCTTTTGTCTGATACTCACAAAATGCTTCAGAAGACTTCTCGAGAATTTGCTGAAAAAGAACTGCAGCCTGTAGCAGCTATGATTGATGAGAAAAAGATATTTCCTAAAGATCAAGTAATTAGAATCTTAGGTTTAGACTTAGTTTAGATTAATTTCTTTCCCCTTATATCATTCATTTCCTTTTGATCTATGCATTAATCGAGATAGAATAGATGATCTTCATAATGTTTTATAACTTTGCATTTTATAAAATTTTGTGTTATATTGATACCCTCACATATCATTTAACTTATCAACTAAATATTGTAATATATTACCTGGAACTGATCATTGCTGCCTTCAAATAGTTTTTAAATACAAAAAGTTTAAAATATAAAAATATCCACTTAAAGTATTTATAATTAGAGGAAAAATTTATTCTATCAAAAGCATTAGAACTAAAAACTAACAATTGTATCAATTTTGGTTTGCTTTAGTGTATGTATAGGTAATGTCTTGTATGGAAGATAGTAATTTATAGAATTGCATTGTATAGATCTTTTTTATCTAATTATTTTGAGTCTTAAAATAATTTTTATATTCCATTGAATTCTAATTTTCCCAAGAAGTTTGTAGTGTTGTGGTGTAATTAGAATTCATTGATTAATTTACTGTATGTATAGTTACATTTGAATGCCCTATACGAAAATTTTAAACTGCAATGTTTATTTTATATTTACGCAGGATGTTCTGCTATAACGCACATTAGTGACTCAAAATTAATAATTAAATGAAAGGAGATACTTCTCAAACTGTGACCAACTTTTCCACATGATTTTAATCCTTTCTTCACTCATTTTGAAACTAATAGTAAAGGATCAAATTTTAAATTGTTCTTTCTAACTTAATCTTTTAATATGTGGCTACAAATGTGTATAATTTTTTCCTTCACTTTTTATAAGGTTTCCAAAAATATGTACTGGAACAGTTGCTACAGAACATCCTGAATATATTTTTTGTAGTATTATATATTTCAGGGTTGACAGATTTTAGCCTGACCAAAATAATGCTGGTTATTATTATTTTTTTTATTCACTTAAAAGAGACTGGTTTCATTAAAAAAATACCAACTTTTATTAGAACTAATATTTTTCAATAACCTTAATATGAAATGGGTATAAAATTGTCAACTAATTACTATGTTGATGTTATTGTATGTTAGAAACAAATTGGAGCTGCAACTTTTCACTTCTGAAGCAGTTTGGAGCAACATCTTAAACCTTTGAAGCTTTAAGAACAATAATTTTAAACTATTTGAAGCTAGAATTAGAAATCAACTTTTTTAATGCAACATAAGCGTATGATATACGAATAAAGCAAAATTAACTATAATTACCAGTTGTCCAACTTTTTAAGCAAAATATATGAATTATTTCGAACAAATTATGAACAGTTTTATGGAAAATGCCTAATTTACAAAAGATTTAGTACAATTTAAAAAATAAAAAATAATTATTCTGAATCAATTTAGAGCACAGCAAGGATGAATTAGAGCATGATTGAGGAGTGATTGAGGACACAATTGTCTGGTTTTGAATGTAAACATGAATCATCAATTTAATTACAATAATTCAATTAAAATTAATAATCAATTTAATTACATTAATCAATGAAATTAATAACATAACATACTTAACTCAAATTATTTAAATGAATAATCCTCAATAAATAAATTTAAAATAGTAATAATTGGAATTTAAATTTTAAAAAAATATTTGCAACTGGACCTTTTTCAGAAAAGGTAAGGCTTTTTTGCAACCCTGATGTAAGTATCTAAACTGTTCTGTGTCTTTGTGAAATATTTGTGCCCCCTAATGGGCATGATTTTTATTTTTTATTTTTAGTTTAGATACTCAAATTAATAATGGTTATTACAGAACACATTGTATAAAAAAGTAATGAACATGTTTTTTGTCCCTTCTACTTTTATATATATATATTGAAACATTTCTTTCTTTTAAAAGATAAAAAAGTTAGGAGAACTTGGTATGCTTGCCATATCTACACCTGAAAAATATGGAGGTGCTGGTTTAGATTATTTAGCTTATGCAATAGCTATGGAAGAAGTATCTAGAGGCTGTGCATCTTGTGGTGTGATCATGAGTGTCAATAATGTAAGTATTCACATTTATTGTGATTTTAAGTATTATTTTGCAAGATTTTTTAATTTGATTTTAATTTGCACCAAAAAACCCTCCACGGAGACTAGTTTGTAGAAAAGTTTCCTTGTCTTCTTGGTTGGGTTCAGCATTATAAGACTATGGAGTAGAACAGTGATAGTCGTAAACTCAGAATTTGGTTGGCTGTTCAACACCTGTTATTAAAAAAAATTTAAAAAAAAGTTTTTAGAATGAAATATTCAATGTGCCAAAAATATATAGTTAGGTGTAGTCTGTCTATATAAAGCTTCTACATATATTCAATAGAAATATTTAATGTACCAAAAGTATATTGTCTGCCTATATAAAGAAAAAAAAATTAGAAAAACTTGGAGGTGCTGCTATAGAGTATTTAACTTATGTAATTGCTATGGAAAAAGTATCTAGAGGCTGCGCATCTTGTGGTGTCTATGTAAAGCTTCTCGCTTCCAAGTGTAAACCCATCTGCTGCTATGGAAACATGAAATAATACATATGAAAAAGAGGAGCTTTAGGATAGACTAACTAAAGAAGCAAGATTCCCTTTCTCTTAGCAACCTGAGCCTATACCTGTCTCTCATATTGATCCAATACCCCTACTTGAAATAGTTAATCCTCATAAACATAGTCATCACTGCTGTAAATGAATGGTGAAGATAGTTATCTTTACATTGACTGACTATAATAAGCAATTTTTTTATAACGATAATGTCTTGTTTTGTTTAAAAAAAATTTAAGTTATTTGTTTTTCATTTCTTTTCAATTTATCATTATGACTTAAGTTGATATTTAAGCGAACACTACACTGTTAGTCAAACTTTTTCATTGCTAATTCTTCATCCCCATTATTAGAAATTTAAAATTTATTAAAGTTTAGAAAAAAATAAGTTCAGGTAAACTTAGAGAAAACCATGGAGTTTTAAATGTTGAAATTTTTTTTTTTATAATATTAAAATGCAAATAAATCATGATAGGATTACACTATCGGAAAAGTTCTCCGCCAGTAATTTGTTTGAATTTTAATATTTTGAAATTTTTTTTTAAACATTTGAAACTCTATGGTTTTTTCTAGGTTTTCCTGGACATATTATTAATGCCATATTATATATTATATTTCAGCAGGGGTCTGTCCAGGCCGAATTTACTACCGTTTAGAGGTACCTTCACAAATTCAACTTTAGGTAAAACGGTAGTTTCACAAAGTCAATTTTAGGTAAAACGGTAGTTTCACAAATTCAACTTTAGGAAAAATTTCACTAAATACTTTTTCTTAAAATTTTATTTTTGCATTCCTTAAGAAACGATAAATCTATATTTTTACCATGTTTTTGATTTTTTAATGTAATTTTTAATTTTTCACAAATTATGTCTAAATTTTCACAAAATAGGTACCTTTCAGAAAAACCTAGACAGACCCCTGTGACCATTAAGGAACTGTCATCCTGATTCAATAAGTTTCAATTAGTTCCTCCACTATCAGAGCACACTTTTCATATAAAGATGTGCAATTTTTATTTGACATTGTGCTTAGTTTATAGTTAAAAGTTTTTTAAGCGAGTAATCAGTATGGGGAAAACAGCAGCTGAAAGAATGAGAGAATATAGAACTAGAATGTTCTATATCCTCTCAGATAATTAAAGATATTTGTGAGAAGAAAGATAAAGAATATGAAACAAAAATTTATGATAAGTTTTTTTTTTCAAAATACTTCTGTTAACAGAAAAATAGATAAATTGAAAAAAAAATGAAGATATAGGAAAAATAAAAATGCACTGATACAAGCAGTAGAAATTGAGGTAGAATATTTTCTTTATAGTATTCTTTAGGCATTGGGGAAAGGTATTAAAAAAGCCAACCATCAGAGATGAAAATGCCAGTTAGCAAAAAAAGCTGAATTCTACATAAACACAATCAAACATTATGAAATTAATAAATTTATGGAGCTTAAAAAGCTTTGAAAAAGTTGAATTCAGAGTAAAAGCTGAAANAAATTACTTGATAATAAGCAACTGTTAGGATAATATTTATTTTTCATTTACCAAGAATTTTGGCCTTTTATAGCATAAATAACAGGACCATTATTTTTTAAATTATTTATAAAAGAAAATAAACCTGCGATTTTTTATACCTTTAATAGTTAAAGAACTATCACTCTTTTGTTTTGTTTTTTTATTTTTATTTGAGATCCCTGTGTTTGTGTTGGCATAGGATATAGATCTGCACAGGCACACTTTACAACTGATTTCCTATTTGAAGTTTTTGATAAGCTTTCTTCAGTCTCTGGTGAAACCTTTGTCATAGCCCCTGATTTGCCTGCAATGATTTTATTATCTTTGCTGTCATTTTTGTTTATATATATTTTTTTGTTTGTTTGAGTCTTTGTCTTTTAGCAGCAATTGCGCATAACTTTTTTACCACCTCCTTTGATGACACTTTTTCTTTATTTTCTTTTAGCATATTTATTCTGTTTTCTTTTTTTCCTTCCTTTTATTTTTTCTTCTTCTTGGTAGACTTTGCAAGAAGAGTTCAAATTTTGAACAAGATTTTTATCAACTTGATCTGGCAAAAAATCCTTCTTGGCTGGCATAATAAGCTAACAAGGATTATTTAGCAATTAAAAGATGATGTTTGATTGCCTGGGTGGCATCAAAAGTTTGTACATTTAACCTTGTTGTTCCTGGTGATATAATGTTATTCATAAGACTAAAACTTTACTCGAGTTTAGAATAAAGACATGTTAGTAATGAATACCTTCCAGTTCTCTATATATATAAATCCACCACTTAACAATACTATCACCCTCTTTTGGAGGCTGGATGGAATCTGAATGAAATTTTCAAGTGTCTTACTCAAAGAGTTCTTTTTCTTCTCGACAAGACATGTGTCACTATTAATGAAAATTGGGTCATATGTTTAAATGCTAAGGTCTACACATTGGGTCATTACACGATGTAGATTTTAGGAAATCATTTCTTATCGGAATCTTCTTATGCAATAGCTATGAGCAGGCAACATATGCTTTGAAATGTTTTAACTTGATTTCGGTGTTCGAGTTAATTAACTCTAACTTTTTTTCCAACAAAAATTTAATAACTTTTTAAGTGACTGCTTTTGTTTTGTACATCTATAGTTATAGTTTCTTTTTTGTGGAATTACCTGTTGCTGAAATATTTCAGCTTTCACAAAACAAGCAAAAAATCCTTTACAAATTTCTTGTGAATGAAGGGTGCTCCAATTTGGAAAAGTTTTAGATAGTATATTCATTAAGTTTTATATCTTGTAGTGATAGCAAAACTGGCGCAGACTGGTTGGTGATTAATTTACTAGTTAGTCCATCTTCAAATATCTTTTGGCAAATTCTCAAAACGCAATCTATGGGATATTTAAGGATATCAGCTATACTAAGCTATTTCATTTACAATAGTATTATTTGTTTTAAGTATACTAAATTGTTCCTTATTTCTTTAAGTTTTTCCAGCTATTAAAACTAGTATAGTTAGCATATTATAGACAGCTTTAGATTATAGACAGTAACAGCATACATAAACATCTAAAAATAAGAACAGAAACAAAAGATGCTGCAACAGAGTCTATTAATCACAACATGTCTCTAGCTTCCCAATAGCGTTCAGTGATAGAATTCCTGCAAAGTGCAGAGCAGCGGAGAAGGTGCGTGGAGTCCATGTCCTCACCAGAACTGCAAAGAGTGCATACCGGGGAAGGAACGATACCAAATCTAGACAGATGTTTCCGCAGACAGTCATGACCGGTGGCCAAGCGGAATTCAGCCACCGCTCTTCGTCTTGGGCCATTTCGCAAATTTAGGATAGTAGTTCTCCAAGACTTAGTAGAAGTACGGTTGATAAGTTCTTCATGAGCACAGGTCTTAAAGGTCCCCTTAATAAGCTGTTTGATGGAACAGAAGGGCATAATGTGCGCAGAAGTTTGAATAATTAAAGCCCCCTTTTTTGCTAAGTAGTCTGCATTTTCATTACCCGTAACCCCGCAATAGGCAGGAACCCATTGGAGAACAATGGTTTTCTTAAGGGATGCTTGGTATTCAAGTTGGAGGCAGCAGTCCAAAATGTCTCGAGTTAAGGGATTATTTAAGGATGCAATGGCAAGCAAAGCAGCTCTTGAGTCACAAAGGACAACAGCTTTTTCAAAAAGATCAATGTGACACTGTAACTGGACTAGAGCTATTTGGATTGCAGCTATCTCTTCATCTAAAGTAGATCTCTGTCTCACAGGGGCATAGAAGGAAAAAGCCTCGGAGAAAACTCTGGCACCAGCATTAGGACAGTTAGCATATTATAACTCACTCAACAACACAGTGATTGTGTGTTTCCTCTTAATATATTGTGCATAATATGTATAGGGAAAACGCAGGGAATTTTTTTCTCTCCAGATTTGAGTGGTAACCTTGAAATAAGACTTATATGTTACTGTGTAGGAATCCATTAGAATTGTAATGGCAAAATTGAATAGTTTGAACTATTATCAGATGTAATCTTTTGTTTAAAATTTGTGTACTTTTATTGTCCTGTATATTTTTTTTTTCTTTCAAAGTGTCTCAATGAAATTCTAATTTATTTTATTTAGTCTCTGTATCTTGGTGGTCTTCTGAAATTTGGAACTGAGGATCAAATAAAAAAATATGCTACACCCTTTACAAGTGGTGACAGAGTTGGCTGCTTTGCTTTAAGTGAACCAGGTAAACATTTCTAATGATGATAGATTTAATCAAATATTTTGATAATTTTTAATAAATTAAAAAAGCATTTTATTGATGATCACTGTCTTTATGTATCAGGTGAATATTTTTTAAGTTCTGCTGTTTTTTTTATTGGATCCTAAACTATAAAGTTTTTTTTTTAATTCTACATAGATATCAGAAAAAAAGATATCAAAAGACATCAGATATCAAAAAAAAAGTTTCTTGCAATTGGAGAGTTTAGCCGAAAAAAAATTGAGTTTCCAGTTAACCCTTTCGCGATGGGAAGCGCGCTTACCGCTGAGGCCGGCAGTCTCTCTAGCGTGTGTCTCTCCAGGGCCGGAGGGCTTTTTGCTGTTAAGCCTAATTCCATGAAATTACCTAAATATCAACGCATTGTTTAATATTGTTCTGTAGAGTATTTAAATGACATATGCTTTATATATATTTCTATGGATACTTAATTTACTTAAGTTATTTCTTGTTTAAATATATATTTTACACATTTTATTTCCTATTGTACTTATCATTTAATAACATTTAACATTACATATCTGAAAACATTACTATGACTTAAAGTTCATTTTTGTGTGAAGAATTTTAAAACAGGAATATAAAGATCTAACTATCCACTAAAATCTTAACCGAAAATCGAAAGTAGCGAGAAAAAAAACCCTACCCTGATTACTGTAAACAAATACCACGCGCGAATTTAAAGAGCCGTCATAAAACATTCCTTCCCCCTAAAAACCACATGAATGTACTCTCATCTTGACTAGAAAGTCAAATCTACATGTATCTGAAACCATATGGACATACAATGCCATCTTTTGGAAGAAATTGTATTTTTTAAAACGTTCCGAAACGCTGGCACAAATGAGTGACGGCCGGGGTTAACTCTCTTGCACGTGGGTGTGTCGGCCGGGAAGTGAGCGTGTTTCTTGCTGGCACGTATATGTGACAGTCGGCGCGAAAGGGTTAAACTACTTTATAAACATAACATTAATTTATTTTGCAAAGTTTTTAATTTTGTAAATTTGGCTATGTATCTTTAGCAATCCACTTTTTGATGCATAAAGATATAATATTCTAAAATCTAGAAGAAAAAAAATTTGTTATTTTTGTTTGAGCTAAGACATTCATTTGGAAGATAAAATGTCTATTTGTGTAAGCCGTTTTGATAATTTAGCCCAATTGGCCTCTTCAAAATTCTATTGATTTTTAACTCTCATTTTATTATATTTTAAGGAAATTTAATTCTTATACCTAATAATGATAGGATGACTTGAGCCACTGTCATATATAATTCCTCTGCTGGTATTTTTAATGATATCAGAAGCAGCTAGTATCAAGTTTAAACTTCTATGCAAATATGTTATTACTATAATGCTCTTATTCTAATGGAAATTGGCTGGAATGTCATTCAATGAACGCCAAATCATCTGAATTCAGGATATTCTTTACTGGCATTATTGAGATCGTTGAATTCGTTTTTTTTGCGATGGATATTAAAGTCACCACATAAAGCTGACAGCGTCACCCACGTCAAACAACCACAACCCGTTTATGGGGCGGGTCACAATCACACACAAAGGAGAAAGAACATAGAACACAGAGAGAGAGAGAAAGAAACATCCATGCCCTGAGCAGGATCCGAACCCGTGACCAGCAACTCCGCAGTCAGGCACGCTAACCACTCGGCCACCAGGTCGGCATCTTCCAAAAATTGATCTATGTATTCTGTGCTCATATATGAAGAGAAAATAGTATTGTTTTTAAAAGTGGATATCAAACTGTTTGCATTCATTTAAAGCATGGAAATAAAATTTTATTTTTAACTGAAATAGTAAATTCTGTATATCCTAATGTATAAGTCATCAGTTTCTTATTTTGGTTTATGAAATAGCAAATTTTTTGTATGACGGGTGTATAAAAGATGATGGCTGAATAAAAATTTCTATTTTGTTGAAATACTTTAAAATTTGAGAATTTTGAATTCTTTTAATGGGATTAAAGAATAGCTTTTATGAGACTCAGTAGATAAGGTAGAATCCATTATCTGTAATGGACTCTGTATGATTACACTGCTAATGGTTATTAAATCCGACATAAATTTTACATTGTTATATTTTTCGCTTTATGGTATATTTTGAAAGGTTTTATTATGTTATATTTTTTAAATACTCTTGAATAAATTATCTCAACTTTTCTTATTCTTGATTTCTTTTTCTGAATGTAAGTTAAAGTATTGCTTCTAAAAAATAACCTTTACGCATAACGAAGATATGATGAGAAAAAATACAAAATTAAATGTTTATAACGTATTCAAAATAGTTTTTAAAGTGCTAAACTGATAGAATTATTTATATAAATTTCATTGTTTATAATGAGTAGATATTTCATGATCAACAAATCTCCAAGTTTATTACTGTTGTATTTGACCCCTTGGTTTTCATAAAATTTTGGGGGTTTCAGGGCTGATTGTGCTCTGGAAAAAATCTGGATTTCCGGAATTTTCGCTGACAGTGATCTGGAAGTTTATGGAGATCGAAGGTTCAGACATTTCAAAAAATCATTGATCACAGAAATTTCCGGAAATCAAATTTTCAAAGGTGGAACTTAAAAACACAGTTTATTTTGTTTGGTTGTAAGGGAGAGCCAGAGAGATACTTTATAAGCTTATATTCATAATTAATATTCATTTTTTATCAGTAAATAGTTATAATCATCAACTCAAGAAAGAAAGACCTATTTGTAAATTTTAATTACTTATAGTTAATTAGTCATCATAGGTATGTGTAAATGGTATAGTTATGTGTAAAATTTTAAATATATTTTAAGTAAACTAAGAAATATTGAGAAAAATGTAAAAAACCTTGTTTAAATTTTTTTCAATTTAAATTTTTTTTTTTTTTTTTTACTCATGAAATTTTCCGGAATTTTGACTTGAGCTCACAATCACTCCTGGGGTTTGAAAAGTCAACTTAATAGTATTACTCTACAGTATTTCTATAATTATTACTTGTAATTTTGAATTTTCAAACAATATTAATCACTGATGTTAAATAAATAGATTTTAAATTTCATAGGGAATGGTAGTGATGCAGGTGCTGCATCAACAACAGCTACATTAGAAGGAGATTCTTGGGTTTTGAATGGAACTAAAGCCTGGATAACAAGTGGTTATGAAGCTGAAGCAGCTCTAGTTAGTAGCTTTTTTTTTTTAACGACTTACCATTAGAAATTAAAAAAAATTTTCCTCCGTAAGATTCTAATAATACAAGAAGATCATTTATGTATTGATAACACTGGGGAACAATTTTTTTTTTTGTTTTCTGTTGCATGAGATTTTTTTTACCAGATCTTAGATACTTTCGTGCCTCGGATTTCAAATCTGTAATCTGTTTCACTTTCCCAGCTCTAGATTTTTCGAAAATGCCATTTTTAGTCTATTATTTTTTAAAATATACAAGTTTAAAAACGTCATATTAGGCATGGATTATATAAATGTTGCATGAAATTTATTGGGCAGTTAGGACACATCATCAGGATTAAAATTGCATAGAAACCTATTCCTGAAAATGTGTCGTTTGTAGCTATTATGAAATATTTCTTCATGCGCTTTGAAACAGATCATAATAGGGAAATTCTCCTAGCCGCCTATGATGATCTTATAAGGCATGGGTTTGTTTGCAATTTTAATTCTGATGATGTGCCTTAACTTCCCTACAAGTTTGCCGTAACATTTAAATGCCCCTCTTTTATCTATACCGTTTTTAAACTTGCGAATTTCGGCAAGAAATGGACTGAAAATAGCCGTTTTAAAAAAATTTTGCCTTAAGAGCAAAAATAATTTCAGATTTGAAATTCCTTTGCTCCAACTAGGCAATACCAAATATTTGCATAAATGCAACGGAAAAGTTGTTCCCCTGTGTAATTTATAAGCATCAAAAAATCCTAAAAGCTTATTCTTTTCTTATTTTTAATGACACTAATTTAATCCGCATTTATATTTATATCAATCTGCTTTGTTTTAAAGTAAATTTAGCAAATTTTATTTCAAACTCTACTTCACATGCTTTTATTCATCTTAAAATTTATTTATGAAATTATTTATTTTATTAAACTTATTTATTTTTAAAAAATTTACGTTACATGTTTTTTTCTAGTTTAAGTGTCCCATTTATATTTCTCTCTTTTTTTTAAATTTATTATTCTTCATGTCATCTGACAAAGATGGTACTAGTTTTAATAATTTGCATTACATTGCAGCTATCAAAATTCAATTTATATTAGCAGAATTCAGTTTACTACATTTTTGATGTAACAAAATATTAATTATGTAAGAAGTCCAACCTTTCCGGAGGCAATGGCACCCCTCTTCTATGAATAATGCAATCCCTGGTCTAAACTGCCCAAGAAACCTCTCCTCTACAATAGCTAGGCTACGTACTAGACATTTCAAAGGTATGAAGATCTCACACACCAATATAAAATGCTATCCCATCTGCAAGTACTGTCCTCATTTGCAACTAACTCCAGACCATATTTTTGACTGCCAGGCCATTATCGGCTCCCGCTTTCAACTTGGAGCACCCCCATTGAAATTCTCCTTGGCTATCGGGCTCCAGAGCTTGCAAGTCTTGTTATCAAGACTTTTGGAGGACTCTAATCTTTTCACTTCACTAGCACTGTATGCATAGACACGACAACAACAACAAAATATTGTTATGTTATATCTTTTATTTTGTCTATTTACTTTAACGTATTAAAACTAATGTTTTTTACTTAAAGAATTTATCTAGCACTGATATTTATCTTAGCATTGGTGAAATGAAATTCAGTTGATTATTAATTAGACAAAATAGTACTTTTCAAGTAAGAAAATTAAATATGATGGAGGAGAAAAAAAATCGAAATTTTTTTTTACCTTGTCTATTCATTTGAATACTAAGTGACTAGACTTATTGCTTCAATTATGTCATTCTCTTAAAATCTAAAAAATTTAATTCAAGAATATTTAGAAGGAAGCTCATTACATAGTTTCTATATACAGTAGGTACATCTGGATTGCAACTACCTTGTAAAAAATGAGGAATTTTACAACCGTCATTCATTAAATTCACTGTGAAGGTGTAGAAGAATAAATGCAGAATGCAAGAAGCTGTTCTTTGCTCCCAACCCCCTCCTACCTACTTGCCATATGTAAAATTTCTTGAAACTGTTTAATTAAGACTCTTTCTAGTCAGAACTTTTCGCAGTTTAGTTCATTAATAAATAGCAAATATTTTTGCATTAATGCCTGACACCCATGTGCACAGGGATTGGAGGTCATAGAAAGTTGCTGTGACCTCCCAAAGATTTGCACTATTCAGCAAATTTTCCTCGGCCATTTGGCACGTTTACGAAAAATCATTTTCTTTTATTTTATTTGAGAAACACTAATGAAACTATGCAATAAATAGCAGAGGGAGTTGCCTTTAATGTAATTAAAATAAAATATAAAAAAATATTGTTACATAATAATTAGAGTATTAAAAAAAACGTAAGATTAAAGAGATTAAGAAGCATATTAGAAAGAAACTGCGTCAGAATTTTTGGGAGTTGACAGGCATAGCGAGCAGCAAGCTAAGTCCCCTTGTGATTGTAAAAGAAAATATTAAGAACTTAGCACCAATAGAAATTACATTAAATTGGTTTAATAATTTTACAAAATTCCTTTGATGCTACACAAAAAAAGTAGAGACTAATTCAAACTGCAAATTATCAATAATAATTTTAAAATTATCATTTTTATTTCATCTGTTTATATACTGGTTTATTTTATTTATTGAATTATTAATTATTATGTATGTCAAATGGAAAAATTTGGCATAGAGTCAAATATTTGTATCTACTTTATTGTTGTTCACTTTTCAACAAATAAATAGATATCTTAGTTGGTATGTCATTGGGCTCATGTCCAAGAGGTTGTTACCAAAGACTTCCCATATACTAAATGGTGACTAGTGCACACTACCCATGTCAAGGTCACAAAGTCCTCTCAAGTTTTCATAGCAAATTGATACCCCTAAAGGTACTGAATCGTAGGTTGATCATGCTCAGATTAAGTTTACATTCTATGGCTGGATGGTATGTGAATGTGTCCTCCATGTAAAACAGATTGTAGCGTATATGTGCGACAGAAGTTGAATTCTCGGCCATATATGGCGCCAGTGGAAAACAAGGAGAAGCACACCCCACTGCCTTAAAATACGCTTGTCAGTATTCTCAAATAGCATAAGACAACAATTGCAGCAAATAATTATATTTTAACTAATTTCAGCAGACTTTTAATTTATAGTAAATATTTTATTCTTTCTTTTTACTATTTGGCTATTGAAACTGTATTTTTATTTTTAATCAAGATTCTCAGAACACATATTTTATTTTTATCTGGTACTCTTGAGATTTGCCGATTACTAAATTGTTATTCAATATATGGAATAGTAAAAAATAATGTCTACATCTTAGCTGCGAATAAATTTCTTTTTTTTTTTTTCTTTTACATTTCTTTATCGACTGGTTCATATTTTTTTAATAGAATTTAAGTAAAGCGTTTCTTCAGCAGTTCTTTATGTGTCACAAAGTGGTAATTGCTGATTATATTGCAATGTGGTTAGCATTGCACTCCAACCACCTTTACTTCCCCAACGAACTAGTACCCATTGATCTGATGCTGGGAAGGCTTCAAGTCTCTAGTGAGAATCGAACCCCAGTTCTTTACAACATTTCAATGCTTTACCCATTGACCAATCGCAGCTCATTGACTAAAATAATTATGGTTAAAATCCTTAAATCAGTAATATATTGGTAAAAAAAAAATTACATATTGTGAAAATATTAGCAACAGAAGGATTTTTTTTTTTTTTTTGAAAATCATGAATTATGCATTTATTAATGATTTTGGTTATAATTCGAATTTTCATTCGTCAAAATGGGAATTTAATCAGTTGTCTGCATTTTTGAAATACCATTTCCCCCCTCATAACTTTGCAGCGCATTTCCTAATACCAGTTACACACCTTAAGGTGTGTAACACATATTTTGAATATAATAGGAAGGAGGGTAGAAAATGGTACTCTTTGCATTTACACACATTTTAAAATGAGGTTTTTAAATTTTTNACTTATCATTTAATAACATTTAACATTACATATCTGAAAACTAAATATATGACTTAAATTTTTTTTTGTGTGTGAAAAATTTTAAAACAGGGATCTACAAGATCTAACTATCCACTAAAATCTTAACCGAAAATCGAAAGTAGCGAGAAAAAAAAACCTCCCCTGATTACTGTAAACAAATACCATGCGCAAATTTAAAGAGCCGTCATAAAACATTCCTTCTCCCTAAAAACTACGTGAATGTACTCTCATCTTGAGTAGAAAGTCAAATCTACATGTATCTGAAACCATATGGATATACAATGCCATCTTTTGGAAGAAATTTTATTTTTTAAAACGTTCCGAAATGCTGGCACAAATGAGTGACGGCCGGGGGGTGAACGAGAAAACTCTCTTGCACGCGGGTGTGTCGGCCGGGAAGTGAGCGCGTTTCTTGCTTGCACGTATATGTGACAGTCGGCGCGAAAGGGTTAAACTACTTTATATACATAACATTAATTTATTTTGCCAAGTTTTTAGTTTTGTAAATTTGGCTATATTTCTTTAGCAATCCACTTTTTAATGCATAAAGAAATAATATTTCAAAATCTAGGAAAAGTTTTTTTGATATTTTTGTTTGAGCTAAGACATTCATTTGGAAGATAAAATGTCTATTTGTTCGAGTCCTTTTGATAATTTAGCCCAATTGGCCCCTTCAAATTTCTATTGATTTTTAACTCTCATTTTATTATATTTTAGGGAAATTTAATTCTTATAATAATGATAGGAAGACCTGAATCACTGTCATATATAATTCCAATGCTGGTATTTTTAATGATGTCAAAAGCAGCTAGTATCAAGTCTAAACTTCTATGCAAATATGCTATTACAATAATACTCCTATTCTAATGCAAATTGACTGGAATGTCATTCAATGAATGCCAAATCATCTGAATTCAGGATATTCTTTACTGGCATTATTGAGGTCATTGAATTCGTGTTTTTTGCGATGGATATTAAAGTCACCACATAAAGCTGACAAAAGGTCAACTGTAACTAT